TAGAAGTTTTTACTTCAATGTAAAGTAGTTTAACTATTATGGTATACAGCTAATTCATGGAAATTCTCTTCAGGCTTATTTTCTAGACCCTTTTTTACATCGTCTATACATTTTTAAGTAGGCCTTACTCGTTTTCTTGAGAATATCTGTTTTCCAAAATTTGTTTCATCTACCTATTAGTAGTCATCCATATCTACTACCTATTAAATGAATGTTACTTTAGAATATCGTCGTAGCAGATATACATGGAAACCTCCACCAGCACTCCACATCATACCTAACATTTGAATTTAGAACTCCACTCACTTCGCATTAATAGAAGCAGCAACCGTTACTTCTCATGCAATTATTGAACACAACAGGCAAGCTATCGCCATCTTTCTAGATGTTCAGGAAGCATTCGATAAGGTCAAGGTCGCTGGTCTGATATATAAACCCCACCAAGCCTGAGTGACAATTCCTTTCCTGAGAATAATATATTCCTACCTTTGTTCTAGAACTATATGTATAAGAGTCGCTAATAAGCTCTCCACAACCTTTACTTTTCAAGCAGAAGTGAGATAGATCTGAATAATATAACCTATTTCATTTACCAACAGCGAAAACTGGAAGGAAGGTGTAGCCATACAAACAGAAGCTACCTGGTACACCGATGGCTCAAAAGCATCTGAGGGTGTAGGAGCCGGTATAGTAAAGACAAAGCAAGGGATACATTTCCCGGTAGGTCTATCTAGGGATGTCACAATTTTCCAAGTGGAAATAACGGCAATCCACCCCTGCGTAAAATAAATAGAACGGCAGAAAAGAACGCACCGTTCAATTGCCATCTTCACAGATAGCCAGGCAGCGCTTAAGACACTCTAATTCTGTAGATGTCAATTCGAAGCTAGTATGAGATTACATGGGTGCCCTAAAAAAACTAGGAGAGGTAAACTTGCAAGGTTACGGTTGCCTGGGTACCAGGGCACGAAGGTCATACGAGTAATGAAAACGTAGATAAAATGGCCAAACGAGGTTCATTAATGCCATTCATTAAACCCGAACCATTCGGGAATACAGCTACAAGAAAGAGGGTAGCACAGAAATCTCTGGAATAGTGGAGGAATTCACCAGGATAAAGACAGGCGAAATAGTTCATTATTCACCAACATTTCCGGCAGACATAATAAACAAAGACAGGAAAACAGACAAAGCCCTAGTAGGTCTATTAACAGAATACTTAAAGCTGAATAGGAAATTGAATCTGATGGGATTGGCAGAAGATAAGCAAGGCATATTCTGTTACCTAGAAGAAGAGATAGCAGAGCACATATTGTGTCGCTGCGATAGCCTGGCAAATGTGTGGTTCTTTATATTAGGCGAAGAAAAGCCATCAGCCAAGAGCTACATTGAAGCTTTAGACTAGGGCTAGGTTACAGAATGTAATCTAGGATTAGAAGACCATAATAGGTCTCAAAAAGTTTCTAAAATTACAGTGTAATAGGCCAAATGCCACCTCATTCAGTCTATCCATTTACCTATCTACAGTCTATAGCAGGGGGCCACCCTTCCCCAAACCAACATCCGAAAGCATCCTTCTCTATGTTGATCCTCCATACGCCATTCACAGGGCAACGGTAAGCAACACTCTGTATTCGAAAAGCTTTAAGCACAATTTGACTGTATTGTCAAATAGTTCAATAAATGAAGAGTAACTTTAAACCGAACAAAAACACAATTAATATTGTTCAAACATTTCAAATATTATCGTCCAGAACTTAAACAAACATGCTCAATGAAGAGAGACTCGAATTTAAACTAATTTATCAGGCCAATAAGGGAGTACAGAGCCAGAATCTACCTAGTTCTTAATAAAAGAGAAATGGACCAAGTCATAGCTACAGAGATGAAAATCCTAAGAAGAATTATGGAAAAATATGATTATCCATCAGCATAAATCCACCAACTTGCCAATATATATACCATCCATAACCGGATTGAAACCTTAAAAAAAAGATACGTTCTACCAACTATTGAAAGCTCGAACAACTAATAAAGCATGTTTACACTTGCAGTAGTATGTAATTGAATGGCAGTACAATTGAAAATGTTGTGTGGTTTATGGTTTCTCCTGGTAATAATATATTTTTTAGTACTACCACAGCCACCTTTACTACCTGTTGATTATCTTTTACCATCGTTTCAGATTTTACGGATAATCATCGTTTCAATACAGTAAAGCTAAATAAATTGTTTCGGAATAAACTTCTGCTTTTAAGTGTATTTAAAAATCCTGAATAGTATAATCTAATCGATACTGATCTAATAATCCATTGTGTTGAGACCTCGTAATTGTTATGGTTTATCGAACATAGTAGTCCCATTTCCGTATGTTGGCCAATAATGTCGATGTCGAAATCAGAATTCGTTAAAATAGTTAGTTACCTTTTAAAAATTTTATGAAATAACTACACTAGGATTTTGGAATTAAAACTCTGTAATGAATGATAGTCTAAATAAAATAGGTAAAGAAATAATAAATAAGACTTACTCACAATCAATTTAATTTAACTATCAGACGACCGGTTTCGCTTTCTACAATATGTAAAGCATCCTCAGGTCTCGATACAAAGTTAAACAAATGATGCCGGTACTCTATTAATAGATGGATGGTAGAACATGGTTGAAACTACTTTATATTGTTGAATGGAGAACTCAATTCTATCACTGCAGTTGTTTGACAGTAAACGGGAAGTTCTTGAGGAGATAGATTTGATCCAATGAATTAGAGATATGTGTGAGATTGTTTGTTAAATATAAGTGATGTAATATACTATTGTGTTATTAAAGGCTATTTATACTTATTCCAGAGATATATTTTTGAAATGTGTGTTATTTATTGAGTAATTGTTTTTTGAAGGTGACCGTTTTATGACAATGAATAGGTGTAGATGTAAAGATTGTGTGGGTGTGCAATTATTTTCACAACTTGTAGTTATCAAATTACTTTGATAAAGTTCCATTTATCAATGAGTTAATTATTGGAATAGTCAAGTAAATAAAATGTTAAAATACAAACAATTAAGGATAATTTAAACACACTAAAACAGAAAACACTTAGAAGGGACGAAACAAACATTGAATTTAAAAGGGGGGAAGGACTTTATTGCACTACATCATAGTCTTGGCACAATGAGTTTTTTTATGTTATAAAACATTGTCCAAATTTCAAGAAGCTCTCTACAGAGTATACTCACTAAATATCTACATATCTGCATCTCTATTCCTACCAAGTTCAATTGACAAAAGAACTGAAGCCTAATGATGATGAAAAGCGAAAAAGACAGTTGCACTATTTTATATGTGTTATTTACAGTTTACAGTTGACTTACCAAGTACCAACTTATAAAGCGGCCAAATAAGCCCGCAAAGAGGATCACAAACCTTGCAAATGAATCTGAACAAAATTCAAAAATGGCTTAAATAATGGAAAATCAAAACAAATGAAGCAGAATTGGGCCATCTGACCATGTGAGCCAGTTTATTTAAATGGAAGTCAACTAACACAAGCAGATTTCACAAAATATGTATGATGTAGGTATACACTTGTAGAGAAGAATAACTTGGCGGAAAAATATCTTTACTAAAAGGAAACAACTTGGACTCAACCTACATAAACTCCACTTGATGATTGGTAGAAAATCACAACTAATAACAGACAACAGAAAACAAAATATGTATGTTCAAATCTATATTAAAACCTGTATGAACTTATTGGATACAATTATGGGGCACAGCCAGTAATTCTAACTTGTAAATTCTTCAAAGATTTCAAAATTAAGTTCTACGAATGATAGTAAATGCTCCCTGGTTCGTGTCCAATCAAGTGATAAGAAGAGTCATAAACGTTTCTACTATTAAGGAAGAAATCTTCAACCTCAGCCGAAAATACAAAGAGAGACTAAGTGTGCATCCCTACGCGCTCACGAGTGAGCTGCTCGACTTCGACATCAGATATTATATTACAAAGTGTGAGTACAGTTGCGCCCAAGCGACGCGTCAAGTGCGAATTAAGTGTATCAGCTGGGTCAATTTCAAATTATTGTATTTTGGCAAAAACTGTAGCAAAAAAGTTTACTAAAGCTCAAAATGTTCGTTTTTCATCGTACTATAGTCCTCATTAATATGATACCAAATTTTGTGAACTGATACCACCAAAAAATCCTCATAAGCAAATTCGATTGATTTTTTACATCTAAATTATATACTTTAAACTTTACTTTGTCAAAAACTGATAAATTTTATTTTTCAAGCCTTATTTAAAATCTTATAATGATATAACCCGACAAGCGAGAGCTGGCGGGTTGCGCGTAGAACAAATTGAAAAGTGGAAGGAATTGCTCACTTTTATTGCAGTCGGCTAGGAGTTTACATCGTGTATAACCGTTTAAGTACCTATACTATATACCTATAATCGCGATTAAGTATCTCTCCTCTCTTAGAATAATTCCTTTTCTATTTTCGCGCAGCTCACCCGCCAGCTCTCGCTTGTCGGATATACATTTTAAATGAAGAGCTTTAAATCTTTTTATATTGAGCAAAAGCAAAGTTATAAGAAAAAATGTCTGACAAAGTTAATTATTTATTATTTTTTAATAATAAATTTGCAATATCTCGGCTTGTAATGGGCCGATATTACATTTTTCAAAACTTTTTGGTTTTTTTTTAACAAAACACGATTTAACAAAGGGTACATCTGTTTTAGTTTTTTACTTATAAGCATTTAAAAAAGTTAATTTTTAATATCAAATTCCTGCCCAAGAATTCGGATTATTATGTCGAATATTCGGATTCGGTGGTTGAAAATACATAAAAATCAGTTATAAAATCACATGGACCTTAATCGGTTACGAAACTTCCTTTTCCCTAGACAAATAAACTAAAAGCAATGTACCAATTTAAAAAATTTAATTAAATAAATGTGTGTTGCAGTAGTCGGTACTAATATTTATCTTTTACAGCCAAGGTGCAATGAATGTGGTAAAGATTTTAAGAGTATTAAGAGTTCTTCGTCCGTTAAGAGCAATTAACAGAGCTAAAGGATTAAAGGTATGTATGGAAGCAAATTTAACTATCCTACATATATTTATTATGAGAGTAAGCTATAAAGAAGGGAGAGGGAGCACACGACACACGTGCACAACGTGCATTGGGGGTAGCGTCGGCTAAAGCTCAGCTACGGATTAAGTAAATTAAAATGTAGTTGTTACCTACTTAAACCTATTTATCTTTAGCATGTAGTCCAGTGCGTGATAGTTGCGGTTAAGACCATCGGCAACATTGTACTGGTCACTTGCCTTCTACAGTTCATGTTCGCGGTAATAGGAGTGCAATTATTTAAGGTAGGAACCACAAACAGCAGACTGCTGTTCCGTTGTTGCGTTGTTGAAGCAAATGCACATATGGGTATGGGTTCCCTGTTACCAGCCCTTCGCCATCAGAGATTAACCCCGTTGTTGTGGTGGGTGGGGCCCAGTAACCCGCATGTTTTCGCTCAGCTGTCTTTGCGTGTTGTGTGCAGCTGTGCAGCTGTACGTCCAACGGCCAGATATAGCTCCAGTTTCCGCCCTCCAGTGTTGCTGCACTTGTAGTCATATCTAGGGCGGGCATAAGGCTGCCCTTCTCGCTCCTAATGTCAAAATAACAAGAAATTATGCCTTATAATTCCGATACTGTCTGCCCCATACCCTGATACAGTCTCCAAGACGACTTTTTTCTAGTTTCATCCAGCTTTCTTAAAAATTGTATAAATATTGTTCAAGATAGACCAAAAATTGGTAAAAAATTAACGCAACCAATGTTTATAATTACATTATTACATCAAATTTTTTCAGCAAATTTGTAAAAACCAAAATCTGTCACTTGCGATTATAAATAAAGATAGAAAAGCAAAGAAGAAGGTTATACCCAAGGAAGTTAAAGGCCTAATGCCAAGAAAAACCAAATAGACAAATAAAATTAAAATAGTAATTATTGTAAGGAATAAAATAGTAATTATTTCTTGCAAAATTTGGACTCCACTACAGCAGCAGTTCAAATCTTACATACAGCTATATAGTTATAATGATCCAATGATTCAATATGCATTGGTTTGTATAAAAAAAGCGGTCATGCTATAGAATAGGTGGACCTGGCTAAAATGCAAAAAATATTTGCACTTGCTGAAATATAAAAAAGACGCCAAATTGTAATTTTTATCATTGCGTCTCTTATTAAACTTGCCAAAAAAGTTAACTCTGTTATGTTTTCTGTCATTTTCATATAAATATGAAAACACTAGAGAGAAGCTATCTGCAATGTTTGTATTCGAGTCTATCTTTTCTCTTTGAATGCTCTATCAAATAGTTCCCGTTTAAAATTAAAAATACAGAAGAGTGAACATATGTATAGCGCCTAATAATATTCATTACTAATCAGTAACTGAAGCAGAACTAATTGCTATACATTTCGTTTTAGTAAGAAGGCCCACCTATTCTATATGAGTACCAAGTAAGCTGTGTCCTAATAGTACAAGATCCTACTGCAAGATCACTACGTTCATAACGTAGTTCATCAAACTCACATTTTTACATACATTTAAAATTAGAATACATTGATAATAGATTGCCAGTAAAACAGTGGCCGCAAATATTTTTAATTAAATTATTAGTAATTAATATTTGACAAATATTTTATTTCATTCTTTGACTTTTTTAAAGAATATACACTGCTTATGGCGTATATGCATTATTTTTTCGTAATATGATGATGTAAGGTTGCCTGATTAAAAATAGTCGAAAATTAGGGTTACCAGTTTTTAAAAACAGTCGGTATCCAAGATAATGTAAAATAGAGTTAGGGGGCAACGACCCTGGTTTGACAAGTGATAATATGTATATTATTATATACATATCTACTGACTTTAAAAACGCACACAACTGACACTTCAAACCAGTAGCGTTGCGCGCTAACTGACTTTTATTTTACTTTTGATACCTCACGTTTTAACAGCTGGCAATCTTAATTTTCGACATTTGTTTTTTAGGCAAACGTATATCATCATATTAAGAAAAAAACAGCTTTATTTGATACAAAAAAAAAACATGCATATGCGTCATGAGCAGCATATTTTATTTAAAAAATTAATGAACGAATTAAAAATTTTGTCAAAAATTAATTCTTTTTCTCATGGCGCCGTCTCCTTTCTAAGGTTGGCTATCCAAATGGCAATTATAGTTTTGGAAACTGCTGCGCGAAAAATTTCTGCAGATGAGAGGTCGAACCATCTCCTCAGGTCTTTGAACCACGAATTCTGGCGTCTTCCTACTGATCTCGTGCCTGTACTTTTCCTTCCAGTATAACTTAAAGCAATTCATATCTTTTGCCTCCCAACACATGACCCAAGTATTGCATTTTCCTCTCTTTGATTATTCTTAGTAATTCTTTTTGTTTACACATGCGACGAAGTACCTCAACATTAGAGATTCTTTGTACCATGGAATTCTCAACATTCGTCTGTATATAAGCATCTCAAAGGTATCTATTTTTTTTATTTCAGAGTCCATTGTCCAATTTTCACAGCCATACAGTAAGACAGAAAAAACGTAACATCTGATCATCCGTATTCTAAACTGCAAACTAAGGTCTGATCTTGTAAAATATGTTTTCATGCTCATGAATGTTTTCATGCTCAATGGTTCGGGTGTAGTTCAATCGAACTACACCCGAACCATTCACGTAGATTACGAAGCCACGATATTTTTCTTCTTCCCACACTTCTTTTGCCCTTAATTTTGCCCTGCATGATGTTTCTTAAAAGTTCGTACTTTTCACCTCTCACAATGTGCCCCAAGTATTCCATCTTTCTAGTTTTTATCTCATTTAGAATTTCGCATCTTTTGTCTAAAGTTTGGAGTACTTGCGTGTTAGTGACGCGGTCCATCCATGATATTCTGAGAATGCGCCTATAGCACCACATCTCGAAAGCTTCGATGTTTTTTATGGACAACTGTTTTAGTGTCCAAGCCTTGTTTTCCTTGCTTGGGGATTAAGAATTAATTACTATTAATTGAATTAAAAATATTTGTGGCTACTTTTTAACTGGCAACCTTTATCAATGTGTTCTTCTAATTTTAAATGTATGTAAAAATGAGAGTTAATTGACCACGTTATGAATGCAGTGGGATGTTGGGGCATAATTTAAAATATTTTTTTATTTAATAACGCATCGACCACGCAGGGTCATTAGCGTATTTAGATTAGTGTGACAGTTGTTATAAATAATGTATATACATAAGTTTATAATCCGTGTATGACGGAAAAACATGTGTTTTAGATATTGTAAAGTAATAAAATACTTTTGATTTATGTTTTTTGGGTAACTATATAGCTCAGAGAAATAAGCCTTTTCCCAATACACATATATTTAACAAGGTTTTTAAGTAGTATGGACTTCTAGGATAAAAAAATACTTTTCCTGCACTGAATTAGGATGTGATATTTATTTATTAACGATACAGGTCGAAAAGTGTAGACTTTTGCTATCTTTGTGTGCCAGTAAAAAGCAAAGCATTTAAAGCAAAATTCGAGGTAACTATCGTGTGATTTATAGAAAAATATTAAGGATTACTTTTTTTGAAGTCTACAGGATGTTTCAAAAAGGTATGTCATAAATTAAATCACGAATTCCGGGGACAAAAATAAATTGATTGAATCCAACTTACTTTAGTACAAAAGTGTACACAAAAAAAGTTGGGGCCCTTTGAAGTTACAAAAAAAAATTCTGAAAGCATTTTTTATAAAAAAGAAACAACAAAATCTAAGCACACAGAAAAATTTTAGGGAGGGTGTGCAGCCCTAAATCCCCCCAAATTTTTGAGTATGTTCAAATTAAATGAATTTTGTGGCATCATTAGTTTAACACATTATTTTTAAACAATTTTTGCCTCTTATCACTTTTTTCAAAAAACAGTTTTTATTGAGTTACGGCTCTTTTCATTAACCTTTAAAAAACTAGGTGCAACTAAATAAATGGCTTAAATGAATTAACAAGTACAAAAAATATCTATAACCTCTATAAATATGATAGTAAAATAAATGTTCAAAATGACCTCCATTTTCTTCAATACACATTCGGTATCGTTTTAATAAGAAAACCCAATGCGCTGAAAAATCATATTTTTCTGACGAAATTGATTTGCAGCTTCAATTATTCTAACCCTCGATTGTTGTTCGTCCTCTATTGTTACAGAATACACTTTCTCTTTCATAAACCCCCAAAAGAAAAAGTCTATGGGGTTAAGACCTGGACTTCTGGGTGGCCAAGAAATAGGTGCGTCACGACCCCTTCCAATCCACCGACCAGGATACTGCCTGCAAAGGTATTCCTGGACTTCATTACTGTAATGCGGTGGAGCGCCATCTTGTAGAAACCACATATTTGCCTTATTGCAATATTCACTTCTTTCAAATACTCTTGTAAATCTTTTGCCAAGAACTGCAAATAATTATCACCTTTTAAATTGTTGGGAAGAAATACTGGGCCTATTAGATTGTTATTCACAATTCCTGTCCAAACATTAACTTTAGCCTTTGGTGATGAGTCGTTTTTTTGTCATGAGAATTTTCGTCGGCCCAAATGTGCTCGTTATGATGGTTTGTTATTCCATTTCTACTGAAGGTAGCCTAGTCGGTAAACAAAATATTTGTAATAAAATTAACATTTCGAGTGTTTTCCATTAACAACCAATCGCAAAATCCAATTCTTTTATGATAATCTTCAACCAATAACTCTTGAACCGTTGTTAAGTGATAGGGTTTAAGCAGCTGATCCTTCAAACGCCTCCTAACCCTTACGTGAGGAACATTTAGTTGAGCAGCTATTACCCTTGTACTTGTTGCAGGGACGTCTTTAATAATTTCTAAAATGTCTTCATCAGTTGCATCCACTATTGGACGACCACTATTACCAGCAACTTTCGATTGGAATTTATCCGTTTCCCGTAAACGACGATCAATGGTCAGAAATAATCGTTAATCGGGTGTATTTCGATTGGGGTATTTTACTGCATAACGCCTTGCGGCTGCTGTACTATTTTCTTCACATTCACATACGATTTTTCCGATAATTTATTGAAATCATAATTTAATCTGATCAAAAAATGCTTTCAGAACAAGAAAGTAACGTGTGCATTTTTATTACAAAATGTCAAGTAGTTTACGAGATAATGCAAATTCAAATGCAATCAATTTATTTTTGTCCTCGGAATACGTGATTTAATTTATGACGTACCTTTCTGAAACACCCTGTATATACCATAAATGCGAGTATTAATTTCTGTCTTCTCAAGTCTAATGGTAATTC